GCTGTCCTCACCTTTTGACAACAACATGTTCATCTCATGGAAAGGCAAGAAATCTTTATTTTCTCTGTATATTCTTTTCTGATTTTACTAGCACTGTTATATTTTTGGTTGTACAGCAGTTCCTGTACATGATTCCAGAGTTGCTGTTGAGTTGGACAGTCTTAGAAATTTAATCAATCAATCAAGTATTCAGGTGTTTTATGTGGTCTCAGCCACCATCCTGCAACCCAGTGACTTGTGAGTGCACAATACACTTGGTATTTATCCTGGTTATTTATGGTGCCCTAATTTTTGGTGCTGTGTGGATCCATGGTGTCAGATCTGTGCTTAGTGCTTTCCTATTCACATAACATGCCAACCATGACCATGATTGTTTTCTGCCTCTGAAACCAGACCTAATTAGAAACCATAATCAGTTGTCTTGTTTGTAAAGCAGTGCTCAGCACAAGGTATCCTCAGAAGTGTCAGAAAGACAAAGCAAGAGTACCTGTGGAAGCAGGCAACTGCCTTGGATCACAACTGGACTGTCCAACACAAGATTACAGAGCCTAGCCTTACCATCCTCCTCCTCTTCCTCATTCAACTCTGTGATGTGGCCCTATTGGTGGTAGGGAATTGGCCATCCTTCTCATAATAAAAGAGAAAATGTTGAAATGGTGGGTGCCTATCATTTCATCCTTGTTTAAATACTTCATCCATAAGCTGCAGCTCCAAAGCAAAGAGCTGCATCATCTCTCTGTTTCTAGGTGTACTCTCCATGTTTATGTGGCATTACAGTTTGGTTTTGCACACCATCTCCATAGTAAGGTACATAAGGCCAACAGTGCTATAAATATTATATGGTGGGAAAAACACAGCCATGAATCAGAAACGAGAGGAAGTATCTGAAGCAGTAAATCTGGGCAGCAAGCAGTAGAAAATGCAGAAGTCTGTCATCAATCTAGAGAGCCACAGAAACTATTTAGAGATCATTAATTTCTATGGGAGGACTCCAACAGAATTCCTGGCCACCTCTCTGATATTTTTTGCCACAGTTGCTTTTGGAGCGATGAGGTCAGGTGAAGCCCTACTACATCCCCTCCGGGAGTGCTGCGTATCTCATCAAAAGTGAGGTGCATCACATGGCCTTTCCTGGACTTCTTTCTCCCTTTTTTACTACAAATACATCACCTTCATTTAGAATAGGGTTCAACAGCTCTGCAATTGTGGGGCACTTTTTTTCACATACAAATTACTCAAAAAGCCCATGTTCCACCCACTTGCCTAGAGATGCTTCTACATCTCTGGATCTCTAATCTCCTCTACATTACATCACAGTGTTTGTAAATAGCAATGGATAGTCTCTTACTGTGGTCAACCATTATTTTGATCCCATTCATAAGTCAAAAGGAAGCTAGGATTAAAGGGGGCCAGAATAGTAATATTGAATGTTGCATGGCATAAACAAGAAGGAAAGAAGGAAAGGGGCTGTTGTGGAAATGGCATAGGAGGGAACATTAGTTGAGCTCTGCCTTGCCAATAACAATAATAGAGTCATCGATGAAGCAATGTTGATTGGGTAGCTGTGACATTTCAGAAAAACATCACTGGCATTAGAATACACATGATGACACACTCCTTTCACACAAACATTAAATCTGTATCCTCTACTGGAAGAATTTAAAGTTTTTAAAGACTTTAACGAATTTAAGGTCAATAAATAAGGCAAAAGCAATCATATACATTTTTAGGATTTTAACTTCTCTGTCCCTTCACCATAAATGATGGTACACAAAAGATGGTACCACAGGTATATTCAAGAAGAATTATATGGTTACTCTCTCTTCTGCCCAAGCAGTGGATGCTGTTATATCTAAAAGGAAACTCTCAGAGTCTTCATTCTTCTGGCCCAGCCATTTGATATGCTGGAACGTAATTAAGCAATTATGTGGTCCCATCACAATTCATTTTGGTTTGGGTCACTGCAACCCCTGGCCATTATTGTTGGTAGAACATCTTACACAGGATGAGTGATTTACTCATGCTACCACTATAATTATTCCTCCCCTTTTATGCATCTGCTGAGTGCCTGAATTTGATCATCTCTATACTAAATGATTACATTAACAGCTGATGTGGGCAGGCAACTTTGTACTCGCACAAAAGAGGGACTGACCTCCTGGAAATTGTAGGAGGCAGAACACACATTAAACACAGCTGACTTGGCTTTTATTCCTGGTTTATTGAGAAGATTGGGCCTGCAGAGCATCATGCATGGCTGAATTTTAGACTCTGGCAAACTTTATACTATCTCTGGAAAAGGTACACCATGCCATGCTTCATTTTTAACTCTGCCTCCCCTTTCTTGTTTGTTTTGAATTAGTATTTTATATCAAATAGTATAAAAGTTTAAGTTGGCCATGTGGTAGCAATCTGAGAATGTTGCTGCCCAACATTTGACTAATGTTGGGACCTCTTCAGCAATAGAACTATTTTGCTAAGGACAAATAGACAGCTATCTTGATGAATGTTGCCTATGAGTAGGGCTAGATAGCATTGATGCAGATTTTCAAAGCTTCCACCCACTCTCCAACACAATCTGGATAGAAAGATGGTTGCATTCAGCAAAGGTGCAAAACAGTGAATATAATTAAAATCTTATGTCCAGCACTTATGTTTGCTGCCTCTGGCACCAAAAACCTGGACTGCAAGCACTATCGATGAGCAACTGGAGAACTCATCTGTCTCTGCATGCATCCTGCCCTGCACCATTAAAATTTAGCTTATTCCCCTGGAGTTGAACTGAGAGGCCACTTGAATGTTTAACAACAGAGGAAGATCTTGTCTAGCAGTGCGGCCAGGACTGAGAGAATACCCTTGATCCTCCCAATTTCTAGTTTCTTTCTCCTCCTCACTCCCGACTTTCCAAGAACACTCAAGAGCAGGAAGAGAGCACCAGCCAGGCATTCACCTGAATTTTTAAAATAAAAATTTGAAATATTAAATCTGAAGGCTGTCCACATTGAGATACATGAAACATGAGCTAAAGGAACCACTGATCTTATCCTTCACTCTCAGTAGCAAAATCTGTTTGGCTGCCCCAGCTTATATTATACTCACATGGACTGATAGTTTCTGATGTTTCATTCAGAAGGTGGGATCTTGGGAGAAGGCAGCTGAGACCACACAGGATGTTAGATTCTCTTTGGGATCCAGCACACAATTCTTTCCATCTGTTGGAACTGACCAGAGTCTGGGTCTGTCCAGTTCTGGGTGTTAGCATCTTAAGGGAGCCAGGAGTAGGGCCTTGGTTAGGAAGTATAACCAATACACTATAGAAAGCATTTTTCCCCCCAGGTTTATTTCCTTAACAAGCCTATCCCGGTCTGAAAATGAGTCTGTTCTTGGTGGTGGTGAATTTGGCGGTGGTTGATTCAGTTGCAAGCATGGCAGGCTCTCTCTCTCTCTCTCTCTCTCACACACACACACACACACACATACATTCTTATCAAGCCATACCTAAGAGGCAGCTAACTCATTTTATGCTATTGTCTGAGCCACTTAGGCAGAGCTGGGAGTCTTTGAGAAGTCTGGGAACTTAGTGAAGGGAAAGCCTCCCTTAAATTCTGAACTGGGCTTAGTACACAGAACTGTTTTAAAAAACCATCACTTTGTCTCCTTTTAACATTATCCCATTTGCTGTCACGCTCTCCTGTAAATTGTGTATGCAGGGCTTAATTTTGTCATGTTCAAATAGCTAAATGATCAAATGTCAGCAGCTCTGATTTCCATTGACTCCCCCAAGGAATCCCATTCATAATAAATGTCTTTTCAATTGGCTTGGATACTTCAAGAATTGTTCTCAAATTGTTTTTAAGGTCACTTAATGTGGGAAATCGTGTACTACAACTCTTTAATCTTATTTTTCCAATTAAAAAATAGTTTATTTGTTGTGCTCCTCTGACATTTACATAGTTTCTATTCCAGAATATGTTACTGAATTTGAAGATCCCAAATTTGGCGAAAGAGTACTCCCTAGGTTACCCATATGTCTTAAATGAAGTTTACCCATCCAAACTGCCTGGCAAATTAAAATGGGATGCTTTATCTAAGGACCTAAATTCTTCCCTTCCACCCTCATCCTCTAATCTGGTTTCCTTTAGAGAAAGACTGCCTCTCTTTCAATAAGAAATGGGATCTTTTAGCCAGCTTCCCCAAGTAATGGAAGAACCTGAGACCTCAATAAACATTTTGACAAAAATGCTCTAAATTCTAATGTGTTTAATTACTAGGAAAACATAGCAATTTGATTTTCACTACAATATGCATATTTGTGTATAGGATGGAGAGAGGCAGAGGGAGGGAGGGAGGGAGATATTGGAAAAGTAGAGGAATCTTTTCTGGTCATCTACCTTTCCTGAAGAAGAAACACAGTTGGGAAAATAATTTCCCTCATATCTTGTGGCTATTTTATATTACAGTATACATTGACCATATACTCTCGCTGCCCAGAATCCTTTTGGTACATGGACAGCTATATAAATTTGATAAACAAATGGGATTAAATAAAGCAGGACATTTATTTGAAAGGTTTAAATAAAGAAGTATCTATTAAAACACTTCTATAAAAAAATTAAACACACTTTGACAAAGGGTGGCCAACAGAGGAGCACAGAATTGTCTTAGCCATTGTTTATCTGCTGGCCAGCAAGGAATGCTTCAACCCTCCCTCCTCCGTTCTACACAAAAAAACCAAAAAAAACACCCTCTTTCTTCTTGTATAAAAAGCTGATAAAACAAGGGTTTCATGGGCTTGAGATGGTGACAAGCTGCCAGGTTGTTTATGCTGTTGTATTTTGGCTCCCCTGCCCAATCCTAATATCCATTTTCTGCTGGGAGTTGGTTGGCCACTGTGAGAATGGACTGCTGGACTAGATGGCTCAGGGATCGGATCCAGCATGCCGCTGCTTATGTTCTTATATTCTTATCCAGCCACCAAGGAAGGATATCCGAACCTGGGAGGCGTGGAATCAGGCATTGATCAAAAGGGATGTCTGATGCGGCACCACTCAGCCAAATTCAGCCATTTGTTCTGCAACATTCGCTGTTTGCAGTTCAAGATTGCAACAGGAAGAAAACAGGACCTGGAACAATGGTAAGCCTTTCGTAACAGCCCTGTATGATTGCTGTGCAATCAACTCATTATTAGATCTATCCCTCTACCTTGAAGTAACTTTTAGATAGAGTAGGTCCAGAGTATTAGTGTTGCCATACATGTTTTTCCCTCACTCCTGAAACCAGCATGTTAATTTCCCTCAAATGCAAACATTTCATACCTCCAGAATACTTTTCTTACAAATCTGCACAGAAAATCTAGATTAATATTTCTCTGTAGCTGTGTTAATGCTCACAGGTCTGAATTTACTGTACTGGTTAATGATGAATCTGTTGGTTGGTTATTGCAAGCACATGGGATTGGCTTACAAAACTGCAGATAGTGCCAAAGACGAGCTGAAGCAAGTTGTGACGCAGTCAATGCTTGTAAAGTTGGGTTCTGCGAACTCTGACTCAGAGTAAACAATTTGTGCCATTCTGGGTTTTGAATGAACGCAATGCTATTGATCAGACATCTTTGGCTGGTAAGTGTTTCAGGTTATGGGAAGAGATTAAGTTACTTATCACATGTAAAAATAAACACTGGGAAGCTTACCTGCCTTTGAACCATATGATAACTTATCTTAAATGGGAGCACTCTGAAACTTGATTTTCCATTACACACATCATTCTGCAACTTTCATGGCATTTTAACATTCCTGGAAAGATTGCCTTTCTTTGTCTACTTCAGGAAAGAGTGACAGGTGGATAAAACCAGAGGTGAAAGCAGAACAACTCTTGAAAACATTTGTTTTGGCTCTACATCAATATAAAATCAAGTAACAGGCACTACAGACATATCCAAGGAGCAAATCTTCTGGAGATGGTCTGATGCTGGCCGTCCCAAAGAGAATCCCCTTTTCAGCATTCATTTCAAATAGCTGTGAGTACTCAGTACTGATTCTGTGAGTAATTTCACTAGCATATGAATCACTCTGCAGTGTCTAATGCATATATAAAGGAGAATGAAAATGAAAAACCCAGAAAATAGAACAGAAATAGTGACAGAGTTGTAATAAAGGAAAAAGAGGATATAAAGTAGGAGAAACTTTGGTGGACAAAGTTGTTATCATAGGGTACCCCAAAATGATAAGTGCTTTGTGGTACTTTCAGATCCAGTCCAATAATACAATAGGCTTTGCCCACAACAATGGATGTTATAATATAGATGTCATTCTTTTAGAATGCCATGGACAAGTTCTATTTATTTATCAAGACATTTCAGCACAAGGAAGAGCTCCCAAGTTGACTTACAAAGTAAACTATGCTAGACTTGCATGGTGGCAGAGCTTTGTGCCAACAAGATGCTTTAGAAAGAGAACACAGCTTGCTTCAGGGAGGCCCAGTAAGAATCCCTTTCACCTTGATAAGGTGCTCTGCTCCTCCAGCACATCCAGTAGTCAAAAGAGGCTTCAGAAGCAAAGCAAAGGGAAACGACATACCTTTGCTCACTTTTTAGAAGCAGGGGCTACTGTATGGCTTCACAAAGCATCTTTGAAAGGTTGCTGCACTCAAATGTCACAAAAGCAAAGGACCACTTCCAGTTTTGGTGTAGCTCTGCAAAGCATGCCAATCCAAACAGAATTAAAACTGAAATTACAATTAGAGTTAAAGCGTACAACTCTTCCTTTAAACACTATGAAAAGCTAGCAGAATAATATATATATATTTGCCACCTGACTAAAAGCCACTGACACTTTTAAAGCAATGGCTTTTCTGAAAGAGAGTGGATTTCAAAAGGGATAACTATGATTCCTCCTTGGCCTGTCATTTTCTTGAAGAGAGAAACCCAAGATGAGCAAAACAGCTTTAGTTGCCTTCTACCCTTCCTCCCAGTAAGCTTGGAGACTTCATAGTCTTACAACAGGCATTTGGTTACTTTAGATTTAAAGCACACTTATCCACGACTGAGCATTACACTAAGCTACGTCTAAATCCAAGTGGTTTGCATCTGGCTTAGTGGGTTCCCTGAAGTCAGCCACCATGGTTTGTAATCCAGAGTTCATTATTTGGGGGGTTATTCAACATACCATAATTAAGCATACAATGGCATGGCATGATGTGCAAAGGCTGTACTTGAATCCAGGAATGCTCATTCCAGGTAAGTGGATGTGGAATTGCCCTTGTGAAAATACTTTTCCAAAAGTCCTGTGACCGTCATACTGTAGGGAGGAACTGAGCCCTGAGTTCCCATCTTCAAATTCTTCAAATTAACACAGCATTGAATCGGCTAGTTATCATTTCATGTGTGTGTGTGTCTGTGAGTATTTGCACTATACACATCCACATACAAAACATGAACATACAGAATTCTTCTATGTATCTTGGAGAATTGATTTCTTGGACAACTAATAAAGCCAAATTGATTTTAGAGCATAACTGCATTATGTCCCCAGCTTGCTCTGCCCCTTTCTCTACTTATCAAATGGGTTGCTGAATCATTCTCCTTCTGCACTTTTCTCCTCCTGTCTGTTTGTTCCTTATCTCTCCACCCTGACCCTTGTGCAAACAAGTTTTGGTCACATAAATATGCATGCGAAAAAAGTACTCAACCAGGTTTGTTGTTTGTTTGTTTAGCAAACTGCTGTATGAAATGATAATTCCAAGAGTATCATCGATCGCAAAGGATGCCAATTCAGCGGTATCATGTAGAGGTGAGCAAGAAGAACCGTCAGTAGAAAGTGACAAGAGAAATCAAAATGGCCTGGAAAGCCTAATGGGTGTTTCTTTTATTACCTTCAGATCGTTTGGGTGACTTTAAAGCCAGATCACAGGAATGGGACTCTATTCCTTAGTATCATAATCAAAAGAGGAGGTAGAAAGAGGAAGAGATATTAGATGAACTCTTAAGTCATTCTTGCCATCGCAGTGTGGAAGGCATTCAGGAAACATCCAGAATTGAAGGTATAATCAAATTCATCCTCAACTTCCTGTTTACAGTTGCAGAGAAGGAGTCCCAGAATAGAACCAAATCAAACTCAAAAAATTGTAAAGAAGATTAGAGATACTCTTGCAATGCCTACACAGATTGCTTTGCAGAGATGGATTCCAGCTCATGGGATTATAGCTGCTGCAGAAGAACATCAGTGCAACAGTTGGGGTCCATCAGTGCATATACACACTCATGAAAAAGAAGAACAACTGTGATAATCTGTGTGTAATCCTGTAATCCTGTGTGGGATTAGGACAGGGGAGACCCAGACTGAAGCTCAACATCAGCCACAGAAGCTCAGTACTGTAAATTGGGCCAGATACTATCTCTTATCCCAACTTAGCTCACAGGGTTGTTTCTGGGAGAAAGAATTGGAGGGGGAAGTACTGTTCACAAATGCTTTCTCCTGGCAGAAAAACTGAATATGAATCTAAGTACAGCAATAGCGGAAAATAAAGAAAAGAGTGCATGGCATATTAAATATATCTATATGGCTGCTTCAAATGTCAAGAAAAGTGTGTGTGATGAAGAGTAGAGAAATGGTAGGGGACAATACTGGTGAATATACTGCTGACTTGAATATATGAAGTATAATTTAATATATCCACTATGCAGATTTAAGACAGTGATATGCACACACCAGCAAAAGCACTAATATGTTGCAGTTGAAATTTCTTTTGAAGCTTATAGAAGAAGGGATTTTTTTTTTAACTGCAAGGAGCTTTCTATCTGGAAGTACCTGAAGACTCTAGTTTCATTTAAAACTGCTTTAGAAAGAAATCCAGGTTTTTTAATTACCTGGGATCTGATTCAGAAAATTGGATTGCTCAAACGCTTGGATGCATTGATCAAAAGATCATCAAACTTAATAGAAACGTGACTAGAACTATTTCTCTGGAAAAATGGAAACTGGTTCAGAAATAAAGGATTACTTATAATAAAATTATAAATATAGTCAAATTTATGGTAGGGATGGTGGATTTTTAAGCGCCAGCATACATAGCATTTACACACTCAGATAAGATGTACAATCAAGCCCCGTGGAATATCAGCATGGCTAAATTACAATATCAAGGAAATCATAAAAAGAAAGAACATGGAAATATTTCAGAAATGATTAAAACAAAATTAAAGGGCCCCAAGAGGCTGGCAATCAATTACTCAAAACAAAAAGATATTGTTAAACTATTGTTCATTTTATTTTTCATTTGAAAACAGTGGAATGTTTTAGAGATCTTCTATTTTATCGATATACTGAAATGCTATCACAGATTTAAAACTGTCTTTGCATTTGCTTATTATGTTGAGAGTTTTCCTTTCTAACACTCTTCCCATTCAAAGCCCAGTTTTCTAACCCTTTACCTAACTTTTCTGATTCTGTAGTCCACTGAGCTATTTGTAAAGTGCAGCGAATTGATTGCCCAGCCTGCCTATTCAAGGACGGCAATAGAAGCAAACCTCATTATGGTTTCCCCAACCTATTGGCACCCAATGTTGTACCCAGGGACAATCAGGTTCACAGCTTCATTTAACTATTTAGATTCTTTTAATTTAAGAATAAATAAATGGGAAGTTAGCATGCTGCAAACTGAAGAGCAGGTTCAGGCAATAGCAATAGCTCCAACGATGTGTCCTGTCCCACACAGAATCCAGAGGCATTCTTAGAAAGCAAAAGTGATAGGAAACCACCACCATTTGCTTTGCATGGAATTGTGCCCACTTGCCCAACGAAAAGTAAAGGTAAGCTGAAGTGGCCAAAAGCTGGGGGGGGGGGGGGGGGGGGGGGGGG